CTTGTGTACTTTCATATGGCTTCTTTGGGGCCGGGCGCACATGTTTCAGATGGATCGTCATGGGCACCTCTAATTAGCTAAGTATGCCACAATGACGTCCATTTCGCAGGTTCTATGAAGTGTCGGTTTTACCTCTGACACTAGTCAGGAAATGAAGTTGTTGGTAAATTGGCTTTGCTAAAAAAAAGTATTCGGAAAAATTTCTGTTGGTGAAATAGACTATTAGAAATATGTTCTTGTCAGGAAAAATAGATATTGGGAATATTGTATCGGAAAGATAAGAATTCAATAAGTTGGGAATCGAAAAATTGAGCAACAGATATTTTAGAGAGTACAGCATCAGACAGCAAAAAAAACAACCACTTTTTATATTTAAAATAGTTATAACTTTGAAGCAAATCACTTAAAAAAATCCGTCTTACAGATTTGCTGCTTTTAATTAAGATACAATTCCGTTCGAATAGATTTTTATAAAATCAAAAAGTTATTAGATATATGTAATCAAAAAATTTGGTAGAAAAATCGGTTATATATATTTTTTATCAATCAAATTTAATTAACGACAATTAACTAAGCAATTTGATTATTAATCTCAATTTGACGCTTTTGAAAAAAATTGAATGTTTTTTCTGTTTAGTACTGTATAAGAATGTGTATAGATAAAATCAATCCTTTAGCTTTATTAAAAAAAAGGTTTATGTAAATGTAATTTAGTGCATGTGCGTTGTAACGCACCCACCTGGTCAACCAATCAGATAGTAAGATCAGGTGTAACGTGAAATCGAAAGAAAAATACCAAAAATCACTTGTATTTCATAATTTTGCTTATGATACCACTTTTCGCGTTCTAATAAAAAAATTCCTTACAAAATTTTGGTAGAGGAATGACTTTTATTATTACTTATCTTAACTCTGGTCCTTACCCTAAATTAATGCATTAATTGGTTTGTTTTGATTTCACATTACACTGATCGTTACAACGCATATGCGCAAAATGATAAAATTCTAAAAAAAAACCGGGAAATTTGTTTGTATTACAATTTAAAAATATTTTATTATTTTAGAAATAATATTCTAGAATTGATACTAGTACCAATTAATGCTCGACAAATCAAACAAGAACTTGGCCACAAATACTTGATTAAGTCGGAAATTAAACGATAACAGTTCATATCAGTATATAAATAATAAACATATACGTATATTAGGGTTTTGCAAATTCCCATGCCAGGCATCAGGCCAGGCACTAGTCCTTGAACCGTGCCCGTGCCCCTAAGCACAAAATGTTAGAAACTTTATTGGCACAAGCAGGCACTATAGGGGAGCAAGCACAAATGTGGTAGGCACTAAAGTGTCAATTATACTTATAATTGTTGTTGACAAAGGTTTTATATATATGTCCATGCCTGTGTCAACCAGTGCCAAATTCTTCATGCCTGTACCCCGTGCCAAATTTTTGTGTCTGTGCCTATTCCCATGCCTAAGATTTTGTACCTGTGCCATGCCTATTCCTTTTGTTAGGCACCTGCAAATCCCTAATATATATGTATATATATTTAATAAAGGATGAAAAGAAAACCCGGACTAAATATGGTGTACGATATTGAATATTCAAAACCGGAGTTACATAATCAACAAGATAAAATAAAAATCAACTCATTGTTTAATGAACTAAAATTCCATATAAACAAAAACAATTGATGAAAGATTTACCAATATTTACCCGAATTATCAACTTGTGTAATTGCAAAATAATAATCGGAACACCCTATCCGAACACAACGATAATTCTGTAATTTTTTTCTGATAAGTAAAAGATAATATGTATGTCATGCCTAGATCAATATTAACTACGTTTGATATCATTATTTCTTGGACACCTGATAAAAAATTAACCGAATTTCAATTTTGATATGCAGTATATTATTTATGATTACTGTAAATATTACAAGACTAGTACGCACAGTACGTATGTTTACATCTCTGGTTGAATATAGAAATGTGATCCTTTTAAAGAATGTTCACTGACAAATATAGTAATTGAAAAAAATTTTAGAGGGTAAAAATTGCTAACACTTGGGTGTTAGTAGACCTTCTATAAATTTGATTTTCAAGAACATTCAAATATACGATATATTGTAAAACTTTCACCACTTTTAGGAAAGCTGCGAATGAGATAAGCGATCATAAAACTTTAATGAAAAAATAAATACATAATTGGTATTTTGTATGAGTACAATTAGAAATAGAACTTTGGTTAGACGTAAAATTAGCCACTTAGGATTAGGATTCCGAATGTATCACAAGTTGATATGAAATTTGATTTTAAATCTGATATAACCTCAAGACCTTTGATTTTTGTATTAAGGTTTTACAATGTCTAGCAAATACAAACACAATGATCAAAGGCACTACCCTCAAAGTTTCGGAGAATGACACATATAGTTGTATGCAAATTTCATAAGCTTCACAAGTATGCGATATTAAATCAATTGCAAAAACTCGTGTGGCAAAAAGCATTGAAATGTAAAAAAAAAGAAAGTTACCGTGTGGGAATAAATCATGGATGCAAAAATTCATGTAACGTTTTTAAATTTAAGTAATTTGCAATGCACTACATTATGGATAAACGCTACCTCAAAAAATGATCTCAAAATGACTTACATTCTAAAAAATACATACGCTTAATTTATTATAAGTTGAATTGGAATTTTTTAATAACTTGGGTATATTTTATAGTTTTGTTTCAACCTATGTGACCTATCCATCCCCACGTACGACAAATATACTATCCTCTTTAATATTTAATACTTGCACAAATTCATATAATATTTTTATTAATTTATATTTAGTGTTTTTTTTAAAAAATATTTCTAAGATTTCATTTGTTAACATTTAATACTTGCACAAATTCATATAATATTTTATTAATTTATATTTAGTGTTTTTTTTTAAAAATATTTCTAAGATTTCATTTGTTAACAAGTCCTGTCTTTTTCATAAATTTTCGCACAATAAAACACGCTAGGCACGTTGGATTCGAACGAAAATATACTAACACTGACATTATAGTTATAACTTCTGTAAAACAATCATTACAGCATTGTGATAAAAAAATAGCTTTTTTTATATGGATTATTCAGAAATCACAAACTTCGTCTGATAAGAATAATTATTCGATTAATGTTTTATCAGGTATCCAAAGAATAATAATAATAGCTGTAATGAATGTCTATTTGGATACACCAGATAGAACTTATATCCGAATCACTGAAAATCATAAATTTTATTATGTCAATAACGAATGTTATACATATTAATAAACCACTGTTTTGATTCACAGTTAAATTTTATAAGGCATGCACACAATTTTGGCATCATGTATAATATAAACATTAGTTAGATACAGTACTTATCAAATATTTATGAACGTACGTACATACGTGTGCTTTTTTTTTTTAAAAAAAAGGTTAGCATTTCATTTAAATACTGCATTGTAATCTTTTAACAAATTTCGAGTTTTTTTTTCATTTTTTCAATGAATGTCAATCTTAAACAAATCTATATAAAGTAATATCTAAAATGGGTTGCGTTTCTTCTAAATTAAAATTAAAGAAAGAAACTGAAACTATGAATTCACAAAGTGAATTTCAATATCTTGAGGGCAGAAGGTATCATAATACAGAAGGTGCCATATACCCTATGCCAAATGATGAAGACGAGCAAGACAGATTACACCTTCAACATTTCTTGATGAGATATCATTGGCAAAGTAATTTTTCTGCTCCCATTAATCATATCTTGACTAAACAAGGAGCCAAGATCCTCGACATCGGGTATGTGATTATTATGTTAATTATTGCTGACCATTGCCTACAGTATCCTCCAAAAATAATACCCCCATGATTGAGACCCGGATACAATTCACCACCCCTATAGGCTTGTTACCTGAATAAGACCTGGGATGAAACTATATTGATTTGCCACGTTTAATATGATATATCTCCAGATATAGTACCCAGTTCTTCACACAATACCCACGGGTACTATGCAATATTAAAAATGAGTTCTTTAATAAGACACTGGTTACTGTAGGCAGTGGAAACGGTAAATCTTTCGAAATAACAGGAAGCAGTTCCAAATTATTTAACATTATTTATAATTAACACATATGCATAAAAGAGTTCTTATATTTTAAAAGAAATGCCTTGTTCACCATGATAATTGTTACTTCTCCGTGGGAAAATCCATAATGAGAATTAGAGTTTTATTTGTAAACTGTCATTTTTGTGTTACATGATACAAATCTGGGAAAGAAGAAAGCTATGAACACAATCTTTCGAGTGCTTATGTGCACAACAATAACTCAAACCAGTGCTAAGGTTAGAGGCCCGTATCTTTGGCGCCGGAAAAATAGTAATCACATGATTTACCACGGTGAAAATAGAAAATTAACATGGTGGAAATAGTATTTCTTATTGAAATTAGCCTCAATATAACGAAGTTTTTTAGTAAATTTAGATATAACAAGTTTTGAAAATTTGGTACTAACAGCTTTATATCGAGGTTATATTATAATTATGCATATGGGAAAAAGTTAATAGAAATTCTGAGTTCTCGATTTATAAAACTTATTTAATGAGTTTAATTATAAATACTTTTTCCACGCGAGAGATTTCTTTTCATTTATTTTTATTTATTTATTTTGAATCTAAAATTTGATCAATTTCATAGATAATTTTAAAAAAATATTTATCAAATTACAGATAATTTACAAACTCAGGCCACCATTATTGCTAATTTATATTTAGCAAATACTTTATTGAAACTTTTTTGCTCTAATAATAACATTAAATCTAAATCTTTGTAATTTTAGGTGTGGTGCCGGGTCGTGGTCGTTTGATATGGCGACTTCGTACGTATATTCTTATTTTACATTCTTAATTCACATTACAAATTATTAATCATTATATAATGTTCCTTAGGTATCCAACGGTTGATATTATTGGAATTGATATATCTCCACACCAACCGTCGCAGATAAAGCCTGGGAATTTCACATTCATTAAAGCAAATATTTTAGAAGGTTTACCATTCGAAGATAATACTTTTGATTATGTATTTCAACGATTTATGTCTTATGCATATACCAAAGATGAATGGCCACGTGCAATAGATGAGATTTTTAGAGTTTTAAAACCAGGTGGATTCGTAGAGGTATATTTATTTGAATTTTTTTTTGTTAATATTAAGTTTATTTATTAATACTTTAAATAATTGTAATTAATCTTTTTTTTTAAAAAAAAAAAAGTTCATGGAACCTTCTCCATTCCTTTTTGATATTGGGCCGGTTAATCAACGTTTATGGGAAGCTCGTATGTAATTTAAATTTGGTTTAATATCTTTATGGTATTTTTCTACTAATGCTAATTTTCTATTTATTTAAAAATGGTTAAGAAACATCGATAATGGATCAACGAGGTGCAGACTCGTATACATATGAAAAATTAGAGAAGCTTCTAGAAAACAATGGTTTTTACTCTTCACCTAATTATCGTATTTTATAGTAGATAAATTTAAATTAATTAATAATTATATTCTATTTTATAAATTAAGGTGAGTTCGAAAACATTAAAAAGGAAGTAAAAACAATCCGTCATGGTGAAAATGTTGATCCGAAACTTAATAAAGTGGTAATGTATTAAACAAAATCTGAATATTTTTCATACACTTATGAAATTATTTTTTTTAAAAAAAAATTTTTTAACATCATACAAATAAACAGGATATCAATAATTTAATTAACATATTGGTTGGCCTAAAAGTCTTTATGACAAAATTATTGCAAGTTTCAGATGATGAATATGATGAGATGCTTAAAACTGCAGAAAAAGAACTATTTGATTCCGAATTTTATTATTATTTGGTTCGTGCTTATGCAAGCAAAAAAGTAGTTCCTAACGGTGATCAAAAAACAACTCAAGAGTAGGACATAATTGCAATTATTTTGGTTTTATTGTTTAAAACTGAGTGATTATATATGAATTTATTTGAGTTGAAAGAAAAACTAATTTATGCCATTTATTTATTTGATATCCATTTATTTTAATTTATTTCTCATTTATTTATTATTATGAATATAATAAGACTTAAAAACTCTTAATATATATCTATATGTATGTATGTAGCAGTTGTGCAAAACCAAGAACGTGAGAATATGTTGTAAGATTTAAAAAACAAACCTTGAGATTGAGTTGTGTCATACATAGTTTAGACATAATTTCATAATTGTACTCGGTTATAGTATTTATCAAAGCTTATGAAAATTTACGATCTATTGAATAAATAATTTCTCATTCTCATTATAAGAATCTTCTTATTTATATAACTCTTAAATTTGAATGCAAATAACTTTAATGCTCATTAATTAAGTAAATAAAATAATAAAATAATTATGAATTTAATAGCTTATTAAATGCTTATATTATAAATATTCTTTATGTAATGCACTAAATTAACACGAATAAATGATATTAAATAGTAAATATTATACATACTTATGAAAATTTAATGGCTTGTTTTAAATGCTTAGATTAATAAAAAGTTCTTTATACTTAGCACACTAAATCAATACAAATAAGATGAAACTAAATAATAAATATTCAGCAGGTTAACACCTTATTTCAAATGTCTATAACAATGAATAGGTTTAATATTGATGCATTAAGTAAACATAAGTAAAATAAAACCAAATAGTAACCAATTTTAATTGGAATGACTTTTTTAAATAATATCAGAAGTATAATAAACGAAGTGTATTGCTTCCAGGCAATTAACTGTGTGCAAAATCTTGTATATTATTGGAAGATGTAATTTTGTACTTACAATGTTATGTAAAAATAATTTCACATAGCAGCCGATTTGTGGAATACCTCAAATTTTCAAAATTAAATTAGTACTCAAATAAAATTATATATATATATATTTGCTTTTGCTAAGGCTGTTGTTATCGGTGGCTACTGTGTTTTTAATTATGGTTACATAACTTGTACAAGGTGAGTGTGCAACTAGTCACACATGCAACTTTTGGTTACCTATTTAAGTAGTTCACCCGCAGGTTCTACACTAGCTGTTATACCTGTAATCTGCTAGGAAATTACCTAATTAAACATTTTGATTTTTATACTACACCTGACAAATAGTGAACAAGTTCTCATACATCTAAGTGCTGTCTAACTTAACATTTGATCTTCTTTTATGTACATCTGTCAAGTCATTAAATATTTCAGAGTAATTGCAGATGCTAAACTAATTTACTTATATGTTTAGATCTTATAAAGCTACTTGAATTTTCTAAAAAAAAATTTTCTGATGATTATATGCCAACAGTTGCAACTATTTTGCAATTAACTGAGTTATAATTTAAAGGTAAAGTTTATGTAGATTACTTGTCATATGATTTTAAATGTAAATTTTTTTATTTTGGTATTTAAAAATATTTTTACTAACTTAACTGCTTTTAAGCTTTTAAGCAAAATTGTAAAGCAGATTTTTATGATTCTAATAATAGTAGAATTATTAAATTCAGATTAAAATTTGTTGAGATAGATTTATTTAAAGATTTAGCATTATAAATTTATATAAAAATCATAAAATAATTATATAATAATCAACCAATCAGAATATTACCATTAAAAATTTGGATTTATCACCAAGACTTTTACAATATATACAAATATAATTTTTTAAAATAATATATATTATAATTTTTTATTATAATAAATAAATTATTTTAATTTATATTCTAAAAATTTAATAAAATTTTGATATATTTTTTAAAAATTTTATTAGTATCATATTTTTACTTACTATATAAATCTAAATTTACTGTACAAATCATATAACAAATGATCTACATATATTCTATCCTTAATAGTAATAGATCTATTATTGCAGACTCATGGTTTAGCAGTATAAATGCATGTGTTACTTTATATAAGTATGACCTTTATTCTATTTTGTAAATAAAAAAATGCTGTTATTGGTTAAAAAATATCCTTTCAAATATTACTGCTGTTTTTAAAGATAGTTATAGTTTATTTAATAGCTGAACTGAACAATTGGATGGAGTTGGTCTTACTATATGCTTCATTTGTGACTGTAAGAATTTAGTATTTTTAGCTAGTTACTCAAAAATAAATTTGAAAACAGAAATAAGTAAACATATTAAATTCTATAGAAATATAAAATTTTTGCAACTTGTAGTTTTTAATAAATACAATAAATATAGATTCACTATTAATATTCAATAATTTTTATAATAATGCATTTTCATATTATAAGGTTCTTGAAACAAAATACTTGGAAAATCAGATTTTTGCCTTTTATCTTTTAATTACAGAAGCAAATAACTTTTTTGTATACAGTCGATTTGGTTCTAAAAAAAATATAAATATGTAGACTTTTATAAATAATTAGCTGCTTTAATTCTTAAATATTACTTAAATGAAACAATGTATAAACAATCTAAAAAAAGAAAAAAATAAGATAATAAAGTTAAACAACACAATCTTAATTATATTCAAAAAAATTCTATAAAAAACAACTTAAAGGAAAATATATTCAATATTACTGCATAAATTGTTATAAGTATACAACAATTGTTATAGTTGCTTAAATTTATATGCTTTATATACAACTTGTTGGGCTAGTTATATTTGTAATACATTTAGTATAGCTTTAATAAGATATAAAATTTTTTATATATTTATTAATATCTATTTTATTATTTTTTAAATGTATAATAAATAATTATTTTTTAGTGAAGAGTATTGTAGTCTGTAATGGTATATTACATGTAGTACATTTATTATTGCTAAATAAGTTACATATTAAAGATTATATAATTTTTTTAATTATATAATAAAAATTGATAAAAATAATATTTTTGCATAATACAAGATTCAATAATTATTTGAGTATAAAATTATAATAATTTATTTATTTTTGGTTGTATTATAAATCTTTTAAAATGTATTACCAGTAGTACAAAGGCCTAAATTTTATTCATTAATAAAAACTAAAATTGGACTTTATTTTTAAAAAAATTATATTAACAGATATCTTTACTAATAAGTAAATAAAATAGTTAAATATATTAATATATAAATACTTAAATATTTTAAGAATAAGTAAATAATTAAATGTCTTAATAAATAATTAATTCAATATTTTTATAAGTAAGTAAATAAATAAAAAACTTTTTCTGTAAATCTTTTTACACAAAAATAACAAAAATCTGTTAGTAACAAAATTATTAATACTGTTATTTTATTAAGATAACTAATTTTGGTACCTTAAGTAAACTTGTTCAGCTTACAATTTTATATTTATCTTGAAAGTTACAAGTTTCTAATTTTCAAACTCGCAATTTAATACTGCTAAAACAGGCTTTGGTCTCTATAACTAAACTTTTAATTATTTTTCATAAACTAACTTTTTAACACACTACATTGCTCTAATAAAATTTGTAAAGCATCTCATTCTAATCAAAACAAGCCCAAAATGAAGCTTGTAGTCTTAAATCTAACAAAAGTACAACAAAAAACAACTTCAACTCTCTATTATTTTTTTAAAAAATTCTTTTGTTCTTATTCTTAAATTTTTTCCTTACATGTTTTTTATATAACCTTAAATCATTTTTCAAATTGGTTTTATTTAATATTACATTGTATGATTAAATTTAACCAAAAAAGATCTTTCTTTGTTACAAAATAATTTGTGTTAATTTATTAAAAATAAATTCTGTATTCTATTATACAGTAGCCACTGTAATATATAACTAATTATAACTTTGTGTTATACTAGTCATACTAGTCACATTAGCTGCACTAGTTACAACTTGTGTTACCTAGGTTATACAAGGTCATACAAGTCACAGTAGCTACAGTAAGCCACAATAATATCTTTGTAAACACAAAACCTATCTTGTAATAAATTTTATAATAATATCTAAAGTTCAAAAACTTATACTCAAAATTCTACTAAGTAAAAGAAGTCTGGTTTTTTAAGAAATCTAGTTTAAAATGTTAACCTTAGTAAACTCTGAACCTGACTCTATTGATTTGGATTATTTTTATAAAAAATTTCCAAAAAGTTTGGTATTGGAGTCTATAAAAACATGCTACAAACATTATATTCAATACCTGCTAACAGACAATCTAACATCTGCATTACTACAGAGCTTAGAGGCAGCATCAAAACCTGTCACTATTTTTAAGCATCTGCTGCTACCAAAATAGTCATATGTCTCTGTAGAAAATACCACATACATTTCTATTTACAAAAAAACCTTATCTATGAAGATCACCAAAGTATCAATATATTAAAAAATCAAAAGATAAAAAATTATTTGTTTTCAAAACCATTGAGTTTACCAACTTCATTCCATCATCTCCAACCTCATCATCTGCATTAACTGTATACCAACATATTTATAGTAAGTGCAATTGACCTATTAATTGTAATGTAATTAATAATAGATATTACTTAGCTGCTGATACTAAACTATCTAATGACAATCTATGTCATAATCCTGTCTCAAAAACTAAAACTGAATTTAAAGCCAACAAACAACCTATTATCAACCCAAAACAAGAACCTTTCTAAGCACCTTCACTTTATGAACTTGAACAATTATTTAACACATTTTATATCAACAATCTACTTATTTCTAAACTCAATCCTCTCACTTCTACTATTGAAGATACAGTAAATGATACAACAACTGATACTATTGCCATGGATATTAATAACTCTAACTTATCTGATAATAACTAACAGTAACAACAACAACCAAAGCAATAACAATAAGAAACATCTAAGTAACCTAAACAACAATAACAATCAAAATCACATGAACAACTAAAACAACCTTATAGGCAAGCTGTAAGACCTAAGCTTAATTCATTATTTGATTGGTTAACAAAC